AAGTTTATAATTTGGGCAATCTAAGCTAGACAACACATAAGTTTGTGTCTGTGTATATGTATCTGTTTAAGAAAAGTAATTAACTAAATAAGCTTTCACTTCAAAAAGGCATCATACAGCAGATTTATTTCTACAATGTTTTTTTTTATTGTAGGTGAGTGGTAAAAGCTTGTTAATTTGAAATACATTTTAAACATATATAGGTCCTTGATCCACCCCTATATATTTCCAGCCAGTGTGCCAGGTTGGAAAGTTTATGTGCTTCAGAGGGCCCAGGTTGGATTCCTGTTGCTATAGATACCAACAAATATACAACTTATGGCTGTAAAATTAATGTAATAGTACCTATATTATAACATTGTCATTAGTTTTAAGTAAATAAATATGTAAAGCATCCAGTAGCATGCTCAGAATATAACTAACATGCAATTAATTTTTTATCTTATCATTCTTCAAATATTGTATTGGTTTTACAAATGGGATTATCCCTTCTCTTGACTACTGGCTCAGAAAAAGAATATTTTTATATTTATTAATATAAATTTATAAATTCTGTATTTTAAAAAATCTATTCTTAAAAATTTGTTATACCATGTTTACATATTTGTAATTATTACATATTATATTTATATTACATGTCATATACTTTCTGCTGTTTATATTTAAATATGTACATATGAGGGGGGACTCCAAAAAATAGAATTATTTTCTGGAGGGCAGGAGCCTTGTAGTACAGGCTTCCCTTGCTAGGTGAGTGTTCTAGGGACCCATCTGTATCAGTGCACCAGCTGGCATTGTTGCGAGAGGCTGTATTTGGTTTCAGTGAATTTTTTCTGAAGACTTTTTCAGTGTGTTTGCCCATTTCATGATGGGTGATTTACGAGTGTGCCTGCCCGCACTGTGCTGAATGTTCAACAGTTTTGAACAAAAACGTCATGACCCTTGTGCCTTATTCTCCCTATTCACCTGATCTCACTCTGAGCAACTTTTTTTTTTGTTTCCCAGATGAAAAAAGTCCTCAAAGGGAAACGTTTTGCTGATGTGGAAGAGGTGAAACAAAAACAGGCGGAAGCACTAAAAGGTATCAAAATCTATGAGTTCAGAAACATTTGAGGAGTGGGGAAAATGTCTCAATAGGCATACTGTATCAAATGGAGGTTACTATGAAGGTGACTGAAGGTTAACATGTAAGAATAAATACTAATTTTTTATTAATAAATTCCGGGTTTCTTGGGTCCTCCCTTGTAAATAATATTATATTGAGATATATATATATATATATATATATATAACATATATATATATAATACACACACACATTCTCAGTCAGCTGAGAGAGCACCTAATTTCATATATTATATTTGCAAGCAAAAAGTTACATAGTCCTAAAATAAGTTATATTCTAAATTTATATTTATTTGCAATCTTGAATTGATCAGGACACTTATAGAACTGTGACTCAAAATAGGTATAATATTCTGGTTTCTCTTCAAAATGAACAAATCTTTCGCTTTTTACAAAATAGGTATAAATATCTATATATACTTTGTAGATACCATACTATTGTTAAAATACTTTAAATGATAAAATTAGAATTAATTGAAAAGTACAAATAAAATTTTCCTAGAAAACATCGAAAAATTTTAAAGTTTTTAGAGTATGTTTTGTAAATGTATAAAGTTTGCAGATGGTGTCCTCACAGACATTTATAAGAATCCTCACAGCTTTATAAGGAAAGAAACTATCGAGAGAGAAGACTTGCAGTAAATAAAAAAAAATTATTATCCTTCAGTGATATGTGATATATAATGATCAAATTAACTCTTTACTAACATAGGGTGCCTATTAATGACAGATATTAGATCATCCAATTCTTATGTCCATGGGGTGGAGGTAAGGGTTATAGGAAATTGAACAGAAATGTGTGATGACTTATCTAAAGTCACATAGTAACTTAACAACAACCACTAGAACAGAATCCAAATCCCCTGGTTGGGCTCAGTGTATCATCTATTGTATCAAGTTATTTTCTTTCTGTATAGAAAAAACAGGTTTGGGAGGCATATAATCTAACTATTCTTCTGGATCGATTTTTACAAAATACCTTGGGAAGCAGGCCCAGAGAAATCGAGACATCTGAGAAGTTCCTAAATACTGTTTTCAACGAAATATTAATAGCACAGAAGCTCTCTAAGTCACCTTTAGAAAGAAATATGTGACACCAGATGGTAGGTCACAGGGCTAGTATCATATGGAACAGGAGTTTAGGAATTCTTTTACCCAGTGCCCAGGGAAAAGGTGGAGGAAAAGAAAGAAGGACATGTGGTCTTTTTTGGGGGAGGGCAGGGGGGACAATTACAGCATACACCTTCATGCAACCCTTGGTTAGATCTTCAAACAGGAAAGATAATAACAAGAAGCTCAGTTGACAGTTTGGAATGTGGCACGTAAGGTGTTACCCCAAATTCTGCCAAGTTCTCCCAGGCTTGATGACAAACTTCCATGCAGAGACTTTGCAATCACCACAGTAACTTAAAGCAAAGGCAGTTATTATTGTCATTTCAAACATTATCTCCACAGCATGTTTAATTCCTCAGTTTCAAAGCACATTATAGTTCCTGTTTGTACTTTTGAGAAATACTCTAGAAACCTATTGCTGAATATGTAGATTTAATTTCTTGCCGACTTAGCAAAGGGGAGAAGGAATAATAACCTTTCCCTCAGAGAGCAGCCGGAAGACATGGCCAGAAGACCAAGATTCTGCTGGGAGTGGGTACGGGGACACTTGAACAAAGTGCATCTGGGCTCAAAGCATCCCCTGCAAAGCAAACGACCTAAGATTTCAGGGAAAATTATAGACAGTTGAGAAAATAATTACAAAGGAGTGATGTCACTTCAATTAGACTAACTTTATAAATGTTAGTTCCCGTAGAGTGTCGTCATAAACAAAGGAAAAACTAAAGAAAGAGATTTCTATATTTTTCCCCAAATAAAAGACAAGTGATCTTAACTCGTTGGAGCAGGCATAAGCTGTGAGGGGACAAACAGCTCCCTGCTGTCATTACCTGTAGAATTACCTGCTGTCATTAGCTGTAGAATTAATTCAGATTGTGGGTCTAGCCTGCACATACACTGATAGATTGACTAATTCTGGCCATGTGCCCCAAACTTCCAGAAGCTGTGGGTATTGTGTGAAGACATAAATTAAACACATTTCAGAAGCCGCTTCATTCTGATTTTTGGAGTCCAATATGTTTCAACTACAGACCCCAAAGTAAATGTTTACCATTCAGAACTAGCAGCTGAAGAAGCAGGAGAGGCAAATCATACTTCCTGACTGCGCTTTGTTTATCAGTTGTGTAATGGCCTTATACCCACGTGACCATGTCCTTATGCGCATGCTTACTCCATCAGCACTCCAATTTCACTCTAACGAGGTTAAGGGAGCTAATTTTATATACCAATTCAGATTCTTTGCCAGATTGTGTTATAGGGGGTTTTGTTTGTGAACTCCATGTATAGTTCCATTCGGTCAATAAGAAGCTGTTATACACACCAGGTGTTTTGATGTGCATTGTCAATATAAGGACTCTGTGTCTCTAGCATTAGTGGATAAAAGAAAATAGGAAGGGACAGAGGAAAAACAATTAGCTCAGCCAAGTAACTTATATTCTATTTAGCATAACATTGAATTAAAAAGAAAATTAAAGTGGTTCCTATGGAAAGCACAGGAATGTCAGATCCTTCTATGACTTAAGAGGGAGACGTTTTCCACTCTAGGCTCAGTCCCTGGAGTTTTACATTCAGGGCAGAGCACAGGATATCTGGAAGCCTAGTGATGAAGAGAAATGTCTACTCAGGGAAAGGCCAATGGTCTTTTTCATTACTGATATGACACCCTGCAGATCAAAAAGTGTTTCATTGACTTAATACACTGAACTCTCTCCAGCCCCGATTTTATAAATGAGGAAACAGGTCATATGACTCAACAGCCAGAATCTATGGTCTCAAAGCCAGAGAGGATATCCAAGTATTCTGCACCACACCCCTTCAGGATTCCTTTCTAAAAGACCACTTTCCCAGTAAGCATTACAAGGGGAAAAAATGTAATTATTTGAAAAGTAACCTTTTTTTTTTTTTTTAACCCAGGCTACAGCTAGCGCTCCCCCTCCACCCCAAAATGCATGTGAAATACGTTAAAATTCCTTGCAGGCAGAACCACTTCTGTTCCCCAACAACTGCTTCCACTTTTCCCCTTGGTTCCCTCCCTAGGCCGGAAGCCGCAGCTGCCTCTGAAGTGAGACTGCAGGGTAGACACCCAGAGAAGACCCTCGTGCCTACAAGTAGGAAACTAGCAGAAGCTCTGCCACCACCAGCAGCAAAGATTCAAAAGCAGAGCATGTCGAGAACTTCACCGAATTCATCTATTTGATTTTTCTGGTTCAGATCGCCTTCCAAAGAGTTTGAAATTCCTACTCTCCGCAAAATGCTTTTTTTTTTTTTTCCCTATATGCAAACACTACTGAATCCAAATCTTGTTAGAACTGGTGGCAGAGCAGGCGTTTTGGGATCGCACCTGTGACTGCTCTGTAGCGCAGAATTCCTCTCTCCGTACATTCAGATTTGCATGCATGCTTGTTCATTCTAATTCTCCCTCTCCTGCTTGCAAACTGTGGACTTGGGTTCTGAGTGGTGCGGCAAGGAGGGAGGCTGTGGGCACGCGCTCCGGTGCCCCCGACCAGGTGACGCCTCGTCGCAGTCTTCAGAGGCAAGTGCCCCGTTCTGGCTCCTCCTGTGAGGTCTGGACTTACAACCAAGTCCTGGGCAGGAAACCATGGCCGTGCCCTTCTGCCCCTCGCCCTTCTGCCCCCCTCAGCTCCGGTCCTAATTGACGAGCCAGTGACTATTGGCTGAAGTTCCCCGGCGATTTGCATGAACAGGGAGGGAGTGTCTTCTGCCGCCCTCCCATCAGGAGCGCGCTGACTGCAGCCTCGCTGGGAATGCGCGGCCGAGGGAATGCGCGCAGCTCGCGGGCCCTGGCAGTGAGCTGGCGCCCGGCGACCTGGCACCCGCGCCTGGATATGGGGCGGCTAAGTCGTCCCAGGAGCAGCACCAGCCACAGGAACCTGCCGGTAAGGGTTGGGGAGCAGAGCCCCGCGACAAGTTGCAGTACTGTTGGCAGTTCACACTCCTTGAGGGTTTTCAAACCTTTAACCTTAAGCCAAACTTCACGGGAAGATTGAGGGGAGGGAAAGGGAGTTGGGGATAATGTATCTTCATTTTAGCAAGGAATAGGCAAGTCCTTGGGTCCAGAGAGGAAGTTTCTGAAGCAGAAATGTAGGCAGATGAGGTGGAGGGGGTGGGGGTGGAGGCTCAATCTGCTTTAGATACTGGGGTTCAGAGATCGCTTTCCGCTGCCGGCATCTGGCCACGACTGCCTACAGCAATTGACAAACTGTTTTCGTATAATCATTTTCCGTGTTTACTTCTTTTCCTCTGGAGGAGGGGGATTAGTGAGAGCTTCAAAAGGGGTGGAGAGCCATATCTTTTCGATTTAATTTTATGTCCATGCTAAAAGGAAAATCACTTCTGACCTAAACTGTTTATTTACTGGGGGCAGGGGGCGGCGGGGGTCGAGCAGAAAGCGTGACGGTGTTTTCATATTATTATTACTGATACTGTTCTTGTTGTTATTGGTTTCATAATAAGGGGTGTACTACGTTTCGCGTTCCGGGGATTTTAGTGGTAGAAGCATTTCAGTGGAAGATAAACTGATAAATTGCCCGCCTCTCAGCGCCCTCCACCACCACCCCCTTCCCGCTCTCTAACCTACCCGGGTGGTCCCTGTCGCGTTGCGCAGTCCCAGGGTAAGAGTCCTCTCCACTCCGTGTGTGTTTCCTGGGATGCTCTACGGTTAGGGATTCTGGATGTTAACTGGATGGGGGAGGCGGGGAGATTAGAGAGAGAACAACAACAACAACAAAGATAAGTTCTAGTGACAACGCTGCCCCATAGATCTCTTCTTTGCAGCAAGTTTCCTCTCCGCCCGCCCCCCACCCCCCACCCCCCACTCCCCACTCTGACTAGAGAGGGTTTGCCTCTGGGAATGGTGATGAGCGCGGCCATAACCCGGGGCGCTGGTTTCTGACTCCAATCTCTGTGTTGCCGCGAGTATGTAATGAGGCTTCTCCTCCCCCTCCCCCCAACTTTCAGCATCTGGTTCTGTTTTTCCTCTTCGTGGGACCCTTCAACTGCCTTGCAAGTTACAGCCGGGCCACGGAGCTTCTGTACAGCCTGAACGAGGGGCTGCCCGCGGGGGTGCTCATCGGCAGTCTGGCCGAGGACCTGCGGCTGGTGCCCCGGGCGGCTGGGAGGCAGGACCAGCGGTCGCAGCCGCTGGAACGCACCGGCGCCGAGCCGAGCCCTCCTCTCTCCTTCAGCCTGGCCTCCCGGGGACTGAGTGGCCAGTACGTGACCCTAGACAACCGTTCAGGAGAGTTGCACACTTCAGCCCAGGAGATCGACCGGGAGGCCCTGTGCCTTGAAGGAGGCGGAGGGGCCGCCTGGGGCGGCAGCATTTCCATTTCCTCCTCCCCTTCTTCTGACTCTTGTCTTCTGCTTCTGGATGTACTGGTCCTGCCTCAGGAATACTTTAGGTTTGTGAAGGTGAAAATAGCTATCCAGGACATCAATGACAACGCCCCGGAGTTCCCTGTTTCCCAAATCTCGGTTTGGATCCCAGAAAATGCACCTGTAAACACCCGGCTGGCTATAGAGCATCCGGCCATGGACCCAGATATAGGCACTAATGGGGTGCAGACCTACCGCTTACTGGACTACCATCGTATGTTCACCCTGGACGTGGAAGAAAATGAGAATGGGGAGCGCACTCCCTACCTAATTGTCATGGGACTGTTGGACAGGGAGACCCAAGACCAGTATGTGAGCATCATCATAGCTGAGGATGGCGGGTCTCCGCCGCTGTTGGGCAGTGCCACCCTCACCATTGGCATAAGTGACATTAATGACAATTGCCCTCTTTTCACAGATTCACAGATCAATGTCACTGTGTTGGGGAATGCTACAGTGGGCACACCAATTGCAGCTGTCCAGGCTGTGGATAGAGACTTGGGGGTCAATGCTCAGATCACCTACTCGTACAGCCAGAAAGTTCCTCGAGCATCCAAGGATTTATTCCACCTGGATGAGACCACTGGAGTCATTAAACTTTTCAGTACCATTGGGGGAAGTGTCCTCCAAACACACAAGCTCACCGTCCTGGCTAATGGGCCAGGCTGCATTCCTGCTGTGATCGCTGTCCTGGTGTCGATTATTAAAGTCGTTTTCAGGCCACCTGAAATCGTTCCTCGTTATATCGCAAATGAGAGAGACGGTATTGTTTACCTGAAAGAACTGGAACCTGTTAACACTCCAATTGCTTTCTTCACCATTAGGGACCCAGAAGGTAAATACAAGGTGAACTGCTATTTGGATGGTGAAGGCCCATTTAGGTTGTCACCGTACAAACCGTACAATAATGAATATTTGCTAGAAACCACAAAACCTATGGATTATGAGCTACAGCAGTTCTATGAAATAGCTGTGGTGGCCTGGAACTCTGAAGGATTTCATGTCAAAAAAGTTATTAAAGTGCAACTTTTAGATGACAATGATAATGCTCCTGTTTTCCTTCAATCCTTGATAGAACTAACCATTGAAGAAAACAATGCACCCAATGCCTTTTTGACTAAGCTGTACGCTACAGATGCTGACAGTGGAGAGAGAGGCCAAATTTCATATTTTCTGGGACCCGATGCTCCATCGTATTTTTCCTTAGACAGTGTCACAGGAATTCTGACAGTTTCCACTCAGCTGGACCGAGAAGAGAAAGAAAAGTACAGGTACACGGTCAGAGCTGTTGACTCTGGGAAGCCACCCAGAGAATCAGTAGCCACTGTGGCTCTCACAGTGTTGGATAAAAACGACAACAGCCCTAGGTTCATCAACAAGGACTTCAGCTTTTTTGTGCCAGAAAACTTTCCAGGATATGGTGAAATTGGAGTAATTAGTGTAACAGATGCCGATGCGGGGCGAAATGGATGGGTCGCTCTCTCTGTGTTGAACCAGAGTGATATTTTTGTCATAGACACAGGAAAGGGCATGCTGAGAGCCAAAGTCTCTTTGGACAGAGAGCAGCAAAGCTCCTATATGTTGTGGGTGGAAGCTGTTGATGGGGGTGAACCTGCCCTTTCCTCTACTGCAAAAATCACAATTCTCCTCCTAGATATCAATGACAACCCTCCTCTTGTTCTATTTCCTCAGTCTAATATGTCTTACCTGTTGGTACTACCTTCTACTCTCCCCGGCTCCCCAGTGACAGAGGTCTATGCTGTTGACAAAGACACAGGCATGAATGCTGTCATAGCTTACAGCATCATAGGAAGAAGAGGTCCTAGGCCTGAGTCCTTCAGGATTGACCCTAAAACTGGCAACATTACTTTGGAAGAGGCACTGCTGCAGACAGATTATGGACTCCATCGTTTGCTGGTAAAAGTGAGTGATCATGGTTATCCCGAACCTCTCTATTCCACTGTCATGGTGAACCTCTTTGTTAATGACACTGTCAGTAATGAGAGCTACATTGAGAGTCTTTTAAGAAAAGAACCTGAAATTAATATAGAGGAGAAAGAACCACAGATCTCAATAGAACCAACTCACAGGAAAGCCGAATCTGTGTCCTGTATGCCCACCTTAGTCGCTCTTTCTGTAATAAGCTTGGGTTCTATCACACTGGTAACAGCGATGGGAATATACATCTGCTTAAGGAGAGGGAAAAAGCATCCCAAGGAAGACGAAAATTTGGAAGTACAAATTCCACTAAAAGGAAAAATTGACTTGCACATTAGAGAGAGGAAACCGATGGATATTTCCAACATTTGATGCTTCATTGTGGAATAAAACAGAGACGTTGTAACTGACTTTGGGTAGTCTTCACCACCTAAACAAGATGGTGTGGATAGCAGTTCCAATGGAGGACAACTAATTTATAATTTGTACTATGTTGTAAATAGATGTTTACAGGTTTTTAAATTCAAAATCAAAGGCTATAAAATATGTACAGCATTTTTTAATGAAAAGTAGTACTAACAGCTATAAAACTTATAAAAAAATCTCAGATGCGATTTGCAGGTTTCATACACCAAGCAGATGATAAAACCTGGGAGTAAGGTAAGAAAATGGCACATTGTGTTTTTTGTCTAAAAAGTCTTTTAACCACAAGAGGGCATCAGCTGCTCCTTTGCAGGGAACTGTTTTGAGGTATTATACATGACAGTTATACATCAAATTAATGAAAGAGTATATTTTAAATATATTGTTTTTAACATTTAACAGATATGAAATTAAAGTGAACTGAATTTCATCACACTTAAACATATGATAAAAATGCATTTGTAAACAGTATGTTTATCTCCTAAGTATGTCATGTGTAGTTCTAAAGAGAAGGCATTACGAAGAAGTGCAATTTCTGGGGTTTGTTTGTTTTTTTTTTCCCAGTAAGGATAAAAACACTGCCATGTGTAAAAGATTTGACCTGCTGAAGACTATTTTACTTTCTGCACTCCAACTGCTTTCTGTTTGCCTTACCACTGCACTTGCTATTATTACAGGGGGAAATACATATATTCTTCTTTACAGAAATGTAACTAGAAATGTATCCAAGAAAAACAGCCAGAAGCAAGAAATGTTTCAATCCTAAATTGCTTCATAGGTGTCCAGGACATTTTAGTGCTTTCAAAACGTGTAAGCAGTACTTCATATTTGGGTTATATATTAGTTTTATATGCTTAAACACATCTATCACATAAGAAAATATTAGAAATCATATTAAAGCAGAAATATTGCAGAAGCTGGTTGTTTTAGTTGGGCCTTTTATATGAAAGTTATACTTCTCTTTTTGTTGTTGTTTAGGTTTGTTGGTTACCATTTCTCGCTTCTTTTCTTTGGCACTGGATTAAGTCCAAGAGTATTTGTACACCCAGCAGCAGATTTCTTTGATAATCTAGCTTTTGCTGAATCTTTTGCAATGATGCAAACTGGTTCATCAGTGATTGATCACTTTCACTTCTTTGTGTGAGCTGGAAATTTTATTGTCTATGAGAGCTGTAGCAAAATTACCTGTATAAACAAGTAAAATGTTAGCTTAAACTGAATCACTCTACTTTTTTGGCATCCTGTGTCTGTACTGTACCAAAAGTGTTTATATGTCTGCAAATTAAAAGTATATATTTTCATAATTTCTTTCTCATTTTTACCATTTTCTATTTTAACCTGGCTTCTTCTTTCACTGAAGTGCCTGTTACTGGCATTTGTTTGCTTCTAAAGGTAAATGTGAGTAAACTATAAATATTCTGTTATGCTAAAGTTTATATTAAACTATTTCATTACTCAATGAAACATTGGGTAAATTATTAAATATGCGTGTAGTTATAGACACATATATATGAGAGTATGCCTATATGTTTGCTAGAAGTTCATATGATAATTTATATTCATGCATGTACACATGAATATTAATTTATTGATTTAATATCAATTATAATCAATCATGTACTACATAATTATAGCAATCCTGTTAGCTATTTTACAACAGCTTTCAATAAATTTTAAAAGAAAAATATATTGCAAAAATATTTTTGAATGCAAATACCCAAGACCTTTTGGATTTGTATTGACCTTATTTTTCTCGTTTCCATCAATTTGACAATATGAATAAAATGTAAGCATATGAGGCAGCACTGTTTGTTACAAAAAGGAAGTATATTTTTTATTGGAAATTTCTTTTGTATGAGCGGCACCTGGGCTAAGAAACTAAGATCATTTAATCCTGAAAATTTTTCATTTATAATTGATGTATAGCCATGAGGAAACCATTCTTTACAATCCGTGTGTGTGTGTGTGTGTGTGTGTGTGTATCTTATTTCTCTTTTTTTAAAATAAAGAACCACATATAAAACAAGTAGCACCATTAATTAAAAAAAAAAACTCTGTAAGTGCAATGACTTGATGAGTAAAAATAACAAAATATTCATTTCAAAATTTGGAGAAGGTTCACATGTTTGGGGGTATGGACTTCATCTCTGGCATGAGAAACACCTGTAACATTAATAAAAAGACATATTTCTGAATAACTCATTGTGCCAGGATTTCCTTTACAAAAACATCTCATTCACATTAAAAAAACATTTATAACAAGGGAAGTTAAAGTAAATTAAACTCAAAGATAATAGCCTCTTTTTACTAACACCTTGTGCTAGAGCAGTTGCCAAAATGTATGCTAATCATGTCAATGTTGTTAGCTGAGCTGGCACAAAAATAAACGTTCCATTCATTAAAACCCCTAATATCCATTTAACAGTTTGAGAACCAGGAGTCCTCTTTGCCCAATTTAATGAAGAAGAGATTGCTCTGATCTTTACACTGCCAAATCCATTCCTCTACCACAGAGAAAATTGTTCATTAATTTGGATTGGGAAATTTAAAACCAATATAGCAATTTCAGCTACAGGAGAAGCAATTTACATTATTTGACTCTTTAGGGTAGATTCCCTCACCCTATTTTTTTTTTTTTTTGAAAAAGAGTTTTCTTGGCAGTTGTGTTCCTTAAAGTGGTGGTTTAAAAGGAAAAGAAAAAAAAGCTTCTCTTAAAACAGCTTTATCATGTCGGTGTATTTTTTTAAAAATCCATATTTTTTGTGTGTGTTTTGGGAGCTCTCTGTATGTTTTATGAAAACACCAGGCATGATCTTGCTATGACATGACATCATTGAAGAATATTAGGGATGGTGTATAAAGTTGACTTGATGGCAGTAAAATCTCTCTTAAAGGTTCCAATTTGTGCTCCTAGGAAGTTTCTCAGTTGAAAACTGTTAGAGAAATTGAGCAGCCTTTTCCCCTGGAGACTCTGGTTCCAATCTTTCCTCAGTGAAGCAAGGGCTCTGTGGGGTCCTGACCTTTGGCAGACAGTGGGGAATGTAGTGAAAGGACAGCCTGAGCGTATGGTGCTCTTCAGCGCCACTGGGCAGCCTTGCTCGAGCAGGCCAGAGACATAGCCACCTAGGCATTTTTTTTCTTGTAAAGTAGATTTGCTCACTGCAGGAAAGCAGTAAATTCCTCAAAATATTATTTTCCTGATTTATGTAATTTCTCCCTAGCCATGGTCCTTTACAGTGTAGGGCATCAATAATTATTTATTGAAAGACCCTTAACAGTCTTTCATTTAGTTATGTAAATGGACTGAAAGCAGAAAAAACAATTGATCAATTAAAAAACTGGTAATCCCTGAGCAAAAAGACACCATGCTTTTTCAAGTTAATTCTATTTCTGATAAAAGCATCATGTATATTTTTCAGATGCTATATACATAAATACATTGTCTATAATCATTTTAAAATGTCAGTCATTATATATAACTGCTTTAAAAATAGTAGCATGCTTTTCTCTGATAAATTCCTACTGGGAATGTATTCCTTTAAGGGCATAAAACAAAATTGGGTGAACTTTAAGGCTTAACCCACTAATGTCAAGAAGAAAGAATATTGTGATGATTAAAAAAGAAATCCTTTAGTCATCCACTGGATACATGTTTACTTTAGTCCTCTAATTATCAGGGATGTGGCTGAGAAGACAGAGTCCCTTGATGAACTGAGGTGTAAAAACGCCCAATGAAAAAACCTTCCATCTCTAAACGCTGTGTGGGAGAAGCACCTATTGCCAGGATGCTGTGGGAGCAGGACCTAACCCAGCACAGGGAACTGTTGGAGAAGGCTTCCCAAAGGAGGTGATTCTTAGGTTGGGCCCTCTCAGAGGAGGTCATGTTTACACAGAGAATAAGAGAGAGGAGAGGAAGAGGAGGAAATAGTGTGCAAGGCACATATGTAAAAGTGACCATGTCATGATTGAAGAACCATAAGTATTATTATTATTCTTGGCTGACAGGATGAACAAAATAAAAGATACTGTTGACACTAAGGTTGGAGATGTAAGGGTATAGCAAATAATAAAGGGACTCATATGCCATACTTAGAGTTTGCTATTTTATTCCAAAGGTAATGGGAATTTTAAGGATTTTGACCAGGGAATTTTTACTTTAAAAAATCATTTTGGTCATGTGGGGAATTTGTGTTGAAGAAGTTTCTGGAAAATGGATACAAGATAACAGTGACAATTTAAGTGAAAGATGGAGCCTTAAACCAGGGAATATGAAAGAAATATGTTATGGAATATAGTGGCTAAATATTTTATAGATGATAAAGAAACTTGTTACACTAATAGGATAATCCATATGTGATAAATGAGAAGATTTATAACAATTGTAATTTCCTGTTGAGCCTGTTTTTTCCAAATTTAAAAAGGATGAGGAACTCGTTTACTAAACATCACATCAGCAGTGAAAGCAGGGGAGCCATAACTCCCTTTTTAATGTTGGATTTTATGATATAGATGGAATTTTAAAGACATTAATTTACCCAGTTTATTTCATACTTATGACAGTCAATTCTTTTCAATTTAATAAACACTACTGTGTGTGCATGTGGTAGATATTGCAACATGAGGTTGACCACATCAAGAATATTTTATCCAAGGCATTTTCAAATATTTAATGTGTACTTGCACTAAAAATTCCACATGCAGAAAACTTACACTGAATGTTAAACAAAAAAGGCAATAAAATATCAAGTGTAAAATATAAGATGTAAATACAATTTCACATGTTGTGTTACTATCAAGAAAGAAGGATATATCTGTTTCAGGCAATCCTGAACAAGATCCAGGAAATATAAATAGGTTAAACAGGTAGTTAGGGACAAGAAGTACATAGTCCTTGAGATTAAATATCACTTTTGGATTAAAAAAAAGTCACAACACATTTTATGCCTCAG